TTATTGATTTATTAATTTTTTTCCTTGCAGGATGCATTTTCTCAACTAGGTACGACTGTAAATTTTGAACTGCCTCAAATTGCTGTAGTTGGTGGACAAAGTGCTGGAAAATCATCAGTACTGGAAAATTTTGTTGGAAGGTAAGCCATTCAAACTGTTCCTTCATTTTCTTTTTTCTAAGTTTTATCTTTAGCGGATGTTTTTTTCTTTTCTCTTTTTTATGTATTTATACCTTTGTATGCAAAATTCGTAGATTTGAGCTTATTTTTTAATGAAAAATCTTGCAGAGATTTCCTACCTCGTGGATCTGGTATAGTAACACGACGTCCTTTGATTCTGCAGCTTATTCATGATAGAAATGGTTCGTTTTTCAATTAGCGAGTTATTGATTTTTCCCACAAGGAACTCCAAGAAATTTTCACATTTTAGAATATGCTGAGTTTTTGCATAAGAAAGGAAATTATTTCACCGATTTTGATGCAGTACGCAAAGAAATTGAAGACGAAACTGACAGAGTAACAGGCCAAAATAAGGGAATATCACCACATCCTATAAATCTGCGAGTTTTCAGTCCTAATGGTAAGTTTATCCTCGTTACTTTTTGATTTCCAATATTAATTTTCACTTTTTAGTGCTGAACCTCACACTTATTGATCTTCCCGGTTTGACCAAAGTTCCAGTCGGTGACCAACCACCAGATATTGAACATCAGATTCGAGAAATGATTCTAACATTCATTAGCCGGGAAACCTGCTTGATTTTAGCCGTTACACCAGCCAATAGTGATCTTGCGACATCAGATGCATTAAAGCTGGCAAAGGTACTTTTTTGTTCATTTATGGAATTACAACGTTTTTGGAGCTTGTCATTTAAGGAAGTTGATCCACAAGGTTTACGCACCATTGGGGTCCTAACAAAGCTGGATCTTATGGACGAAGGCACCGATGCTCGCGATATTTTGGAGAATCGATTGTTCCCCTTGAGACGTGGTAAGTGTTTTATGTCTTCGTTGTTTGGTTTGCTAAATTTTTTTGTTTTTGTTATATCATGAAGAGAAAATAAGAAAAGAAGAGAAAAGCCTAAAATTTGAATTAGCCCATTGACTTACTTCAAAATATTGTCATATTACTTCAAAATGTCTAAGTTTCGATAGTGCGATGAGATACTCATTGTATTCTTCGATAGTGAATATCTGGCAGGTGAATTATCATTTTGGTGCAAATTCTCTCTTGAACTTTATTGATTGATGCCTTAATGCACAGATTAAGTCATTTTTGTAGTCATTAGGTTGTCCCAAAAGTAAACTCCATTTTTTCAGATT